TTTGCAGCATGCAGCAATGGGGAATGCAAGAATGCAAGAAAAATACCAATGTAGYAAGACGATAATAAATACGGAAAGTGTGCAAAATGCATAGAGAATTCAAAGAAGTTGCATGCAATGCAAACTTTAKAGACAATGCTAAAATCCCCTCTTGATGTTTGATGGGGCCAAAATGCATTAATGCAAAAGTGTAGAGCAAGCATGGGCAAACTTGGGCCCTCCAGGTGTTTTGGACTTCAACTCCCACCATTCCTAACAGCCTACCGGCTGTTAGGAATGGTGGGAGTTGAAGTCCAAAACACCTGGAGGGCCCAAGTTTACAGCTTGGTGTAGATGCTCCAATAGTTAACTCCATAACATAACTGTTATGGTAGGCCATYGGTAAAGTGATCCTTAGCATAGTCTTAAGAGGGGTCCGGTTCGTGCCGGATTTCGGTGCCAGCCCCTTGGACTCCTGGCTGGATCCGCATTGCATGCCTTCCCTGCTTTGGATGTCTGGCATTTCTGTCCCGTTCGGGCTTGTTCGTACGGAAACACAATCCCTGCATCTGACCCAACGCCTTTGCGGTGGTCTCTTGCCACATCTCTCCGGAGGCGTCCGTCGAGCGAGAAACCCAAGGAAGGATATAACCAGAAAGGCTCCTGGACTTTGCCCTCGAGGTCAACGCAGACGCCTCTTTGGCCTGGACTTGCTTTGGACAGATTGACCGATAAAGACCCCAAGGCGATGGGGCTCTCTGATGCTATCTGTGACAGCAACGCACAGTTCAGGGGCAAAGAGATAAGGCAGACTTCTGCCAAATTTGGGGCTTCAAGACACTGCGGTTCCCAGCACTCTGGACTAAGCCTTATGGGAGTTGCAGTGCAACATGGAAAGACTTCAAGATAAGCCACAACTGCATAGGATGCATCTACATTTGTAGAATGAACACAGCACTGCTTTGACTGCCCTGGGAGTTGTAGTTTTACAAGGTCTTGAGGCTTCTCTACCAAAGAGAGTTGGGGCCTCACCAAACTACAACTCCCAGAATGCACAAAGCTTAGAGAGGTTCCTTTTGGGGAGTCTACAACTCCCATCTACATTTGAGAGTTGTAGACCCCCAAATGCATCTACATTTGTAGAATGAACACAGCTTGGCACTGCTTTGAATGCCCTGGGAGTTGTAGTTTTACAAGGTCTTGAGACTTCTCTACCAAAGAGGGTTGGGGCCTCACTGAACTACAACTCCCAGAATGCACAAAGCTTAGAGAGGTTCCTTTTGGGTGGTCTACAACTCCCATCTACATTTGAGAGTTGTAGACCCCCAAATGCATCACATTTGTAGAATGAACACAGCTTGCCACTGCTTTGAATGCCCTGGGAGTTGTAGTTTTACAAGGTCTTGAGACTTCTCTACCAAAGAGGGTTGGGGCCTCACCGAACTACAACTCCCAGAATGCACAAAGCTTAGAGAGGTTCCTTTTGGGGGGGTCTACAACTCCCATCTACATTTGAAAGTTGTAGACCCCCAAATGCATCTACATTTGTAGAATGAACACAGCTTGGCACTGCTTTGAATGCCCTGGGAGTTGTAGTTTTACAAGGTCTTGAGCCTTCTCTGCCAGAGAAGGTCAGAGCCTTGCCGAACTACAACTCCCAGAATGCACAAAGCTAGGAAAGGTTCCTTTTGGGGTTCTACAACTCCTGTAAACTTGGTAAAGGATGCTGGGAGCTGCAATCCCTAAAGCAACGTTTCTAGTTCTCTAGAGCAGGGGTAGGAAACGTGTGGCCCTCCTGATGATGACTCACCATTGGCTGGGGATGCTGGGATTTGTAGTCCTGTCCAGCAAGAGAAGGCGATATAGTTCTAACTCCTGGATACTGGATCCTATCGACTTAAGGGATTCAAGTTGAGTCTACTTCTGCTCTATTGAAACTCAGACATCCAATTCAATTTAGTTTTGGTATCTTTTTCTAGCAGTGACCATCCTGAATTTCGCCTATCTAATTCGCCCTAAGGCTGAGCTCAAGACAAGAACACCTAGGAGCATGTGCAAAGTGCAACGTGAGCTCCTCTATGGGATTGCAACACATACCTTTGAGGCAATAGCTCAGAAGCTGGATGTTGTGTAGAATTCTGTCTGTCTTTTCGAGGAATATAAATGTGGGTATTTATTGTTTTTCTGCTCCCAAAGTACTCTGAGCATGTGCAGAGATCTTCCCTTAAATTCAGCTAAAAACCCCAAAGCGAAGCAATGTATCATTTTAAAAATAGATAAATCGCGGTTTGAGCTCCTATGATGCTAAAGCAGGCATGGGCAAACTTGGGCCCTCCAGGTATTTTGGACTCCAACTCCCACAATTCCTAACAGCCTCAGGCCCTTTCCTTTTCTCTTTCCCACTTAAGCAGCTGAAGGGGAAAAGGAAGGGACCTGAGGCTGTTAGGAATTGTGGGAGTTGGAGTACAAAACACCTGGAGGGCACAAGTTTGCCCATGCTTGTACTAGAGGCTCCAGTGGAGGCTTTAAAACAGAGGCTGGATGGCCATCTGTCAGAAGTGCTTTGATTGTGCTTCTCCTGTATTGCAGAAGGGGGCTGGACTAGATGGCCTCTGGGGTTTTCTTCTGACAAATTCTGTAATTTGTCCGGTTTCTTTACAACTTTGTGATGTTAGGATACAACTTTGGAGAACAGAGTTCACATCCCTGGTCGGCTATGCAAACCCAGTAGCAGTCACACTCTCTCAGCCTCAGAGGGAAGAAAAGGCAAAGCCTTCCTTCCAGCCAGGCTTTGATGCTGCAAGGCTATTAAATGCTAATCAATGTGCCTTGAACGGATAAGAGTTCTTTCTCCCAGCCCAGACATTCCACAGATATATAAATCTCACTTGGCTAGTTTCCAACAGTCCTCACAACCTCTGAGTTTGCTTGCCACAGATGTGGGTGAAATGTCAGGAGAGAATGCTTCTGGAACAAAGCCATACAGCCCAGAAAACTCACAGCAACCTAGTGATTCCAGCCATGAAAGCTTTCAACAACATATTCCTTCCTGAACTTGCCAAGAAAATGATAGTTTGACATACGTTGGAAATGTCTCCACGACACACAACAACAAAGCTGTGGAGGAGTCACATTCATAACAGTGGTGTCTCTGAGCATGTGCAGAGGGCAGCTCTTGCCTGAGCAATGGGAGCGCACTCCTATTGTGTCAAGAGTGATATGGCAAAAAGTGTCCCATGTTACACTTCCAATTGTGACTTTGCAGTTTCCCTGCATATTTAGGGAGATGTAGTTCCAAAAAGGTATTGTGCCTTTTCTGCCAAAGAGTGCTGGTACCTCATCAAACTATAATTCCCAGGATTCCATAGAATGGAGTTGTGGAGGTTTAAAATGATGTCAAGCTGCATTAAGTTCACAGTATGGACGAGACCAAAGTTGCAACAAATGCGCGGCTTCTATTCACAAGAGCCGAGCAATAACCCCAATATTTGGCTTTCAAAATTTGGGGTGCAGAAGGAATCATTGCAGCAGTCTTTGCAAGAATGCGGAATGAGTTGCAGAGGTGTCTCTGAGCACGCACAGAGGGCAACGCCTTCCTGAATGATTGCAGCCCCATAATTCACATTTCCTCTGAGCCACTTTCCCGGCAAAAGCAGGCCCTCGTTTTCCAACATCGTGTTTCCAACAAGTTCCCTTGAAAAGTAGGGGAAACATGACTCCAACTCTGACCTCTCTAAAGCATCACCGAAAACCATTTGGACACCTCTGCGGCATTTGCACAAGTGCAACGGCGCAATCCAAAAGTTCCCGGAAACATAATAATAATGAAAAAAAGGAATATTTCTGATGGCACTGAAGCACCACTCCTTAATCCAAACCGAGAATATTTGTGCATGTTTTTGCTTTCCCACCCCAAAAATCAGTCCGGAACAATGACTAAATTATATTCTGAGTAGATGATTAACTGCTTGGCCAACATCAGGGTTGACCCAGCTGCCTCCAAAACTTGCCCAAAGGCCCAGAAAGGTTGCCATTTATTGCACATGTATTTGAAGCAACGTGAAGGAGAAGAAGGGGTGAAAAGTCACTCTCCATCCAGAATAAAAAATATAGAGGAGAGGAGGAAAAATCCATAGGGTGCTAACACTTTGGCTTCCCAGAATGCAAAGCTGCACAAGGGATTCAGGAGCCAGGTCAAAGTGGAGCCAAAGAATTGGGGTACACCACAAATTGGGGAGCTCACATAGGGAATAATAGGGGAAAGTCATTGACAACAGTGGCATTATGGATGAGCATCCTTTGCAGGCCTTTTGGGGTATGCCACGCCCCTCCGTAGCTCATTTTGGCTCCCCATATCGCCTCCCAAGTCCACCCCGAACCCCAAAATCCCATATTTTGTAATAGGGGTGCCCCACTATCCCGGCAAAGGGGTAGGAATGCCCAAAAAGGCCCCATTTGCCTCTGCTGTGGAAATACAGGCCGGCTTGAGGGTCTTCCACCCCATTTCTGGGGAGAAAGCTTAAAGGGACCCCGGGACCCCAAAGCGGGGCCGGCGGGAACCCCGCGAGGGCGGATACTATTCCCACAGAGCCTCTGCTAGATGGGGAGATGCTGCATTCCCTTCCAAGAGAGTCCATTTTGTGGAGCCTTTGAATATTCAAATTGAAAGTAACGCGCAATCATTGATTGTCAAATCATTGGTTTCTAGGGCTTTTAAATACTTGGCTTGGGGAGAGAAAAATTCAAACTTATATCCGAAGGTATAAAACTTTAATATTGCCTGCCTCCCACTTGGGATGTGCAGAAAAAGATTTGGAAGGCCTTTTTGAGGGAAAAATTTCGATTTTCTTCTTTGCATTGGGAAGCCAAGCTGAGCACTTCAGAGAGGGGGGTGTGTGTGTGTGTGTGTGTTTTCCCCCTACTTTGTTTTCCCCTATCCAGCATTTTGGTGTGTTTTTATTTATCTTCCCAATCACGAACAAAAACAAGCAGCAACTTTATCCATCTTCTCCACTTGCAGCATGTCAGGTAAGTCGGATTTAATTCACTTCCATTGGCTTTTTTTTGGGACCAAATAAAAAAGGGGAGGAGGAGGGAAAAGGGAGAGAGAGAGAGCGAGAAAGCAAGGGAAGGAGGAGAGAAGGGGAGAGAAGGAAGGGGAGAAAAAAAGGAAGTCCAAGCAGTTTCCAAACGGCAAGGCGCAATGGAAATCAAATGTGTTTTAAGCGCGGCGTAGGCTTCACCGAACTCATATACATAAAATATACACACACCCAACGCCATTGCGCCAGGGCCGTGGGGGGGCCGCTCTCCAGGTGTGCGCTCAGGAATGCGGCTGCTCCAGAGGCCTTTTGTGCAGAAGAAGGAGCCTTGGCTCTAGGCAAGCGCACAACCCTCATCTCCCCTCACCTTGCCCTGAAAAGGTGCCCCTTCTCCCCAAACTTCCCAAGACCTTCGGCTAAGAGACAGGGACCTCTCTGCCCCAAAAGACATCTCCAAGGGGCAGAGGAGTTCCTCCCAACCACAGTATTTCCAAAGGACAGAATGCATCACACCATGCAAAAGAGAGAGGTGTCTAGATCCATTTTCCTTTTATTATTTTGAATTTCACAATAGCGTTGTGCGGTTTTGGGTGTCTCTTCGAAAATGCCATATTTGTCCGATTCTAAGACGCTGGCGATGGCAAGGCACACACTCATTTCAGTCCAACCAAATGACATCGATGTAGATTGAATGCACCTTTGATTCTAAGGTGCACCCTATTTTTAGAGATGTTTATGTGGGAGGAAATGCAGTAGTTCTAGGTTGTATGTTACCGTATTTCTCCGATTCTAAGACAGTGGCGATTCCAAGGCACTCACAAATTTCAGTCCCACCAAATTATGTAGATGTAGACATTGACGATTCCAAGACACACACAAATTTCAGTCCCACCAAATGACATGGATGTAGATATAGATGGAAACATCGATGTAGATGGAAAGCACCTCTGATTCTAAGGTGCACCCCATTTTTAGAGGTGTTCATAAGGGAGGAAATGCAGTAGTTCTAGATTGTATTCTACCATATTTTTCTGATTCTAAGATGCTAGTGATTGCAAGGCACACACAAATTTCAGTCCCACCAAATGATGTAGATGTAGATGTAGGCATTGATGTAGATGGAAAGCACCTCTGATTCTAAGGTGCACCCCATTTTTAGAGGCGTTCATATGGGGAAAATGTAGTCATTCTAGGTTATATTGTACCGCATTTCTCCGATTCTAAGATGGCAACGATTCCAAGGTGCACACAAATTTCAGTCCCACCAAGTGATGTAGATGTAGAAGGAAAGCACCTCTGATTCTAAGGTGCACCCCATTTTTAGCGGTGTTTATGTGCGGGAAAATGCAGTAATCCTAGGTTGTATGTTACCGTATTTCTCCGATTCTAAGACGGTGGCGATTCCAAGGCACACACAAATTTCAGTCCCACCAAATGACACAGATGCAGATATAGATGTAGACATCAACGTAGATGGAAAGCACCTCTGATTCTAAGGTGCACCCCATTATTAGAGGTGTTCAAATGGGGAAAATGTAGTAGTTCTATATTGTATTCTACCGTATTACTTCAATTCTGATGATTGCAAGGCACACACTGAATTCAGTCCCACCAAATTATGTAGATATAGATTAAGACGTAGATGTAGATGCAAATGGAAAGCACCTCTGATTCTAAGGCGCACCCCATTTTTTAGGTGTTTATATGGGGGGAAATGCAATAGTTCTAGGTTGTATTCTATCGTATTTCTTCAAGTCTGATGATTGCAAGGCACACACTGAATTCAGTCCCACCAAATAATGTAGATGTAGATGGAAAGCACTTCCAATTCTAAGGTGCACCCCATTTTTGAAGGTATTTGGGGGAAATGCAGTAGTTTCCCCCAAATACAATATTTCTCCGATTCTAAGACAGCAATGATTGCAAGGCACACACTAATTTTAGTCCCACTAAATGATATAGATATATAGATGTAAAGCACCTTTGAGTTTAAGGTGTACCCTATTTTTAGAGATGTTTATATGGGAAAAATGCAGTAGTTCTAGGTTGTATTCTACCATATATCTCTGATTTTAAGACAGTGATGATTGCAAGGCACACACTAAATTCAGTCCCACCAAATGATGTAGATGTACATGTAAATTTAGATGTGGAGCACCTCAGATTCTAATGCACACCCCATTTTTAGAGGTGTTTGTATCGGAGAAAATGTAGTAGTCTATGATTGATTTTACCGTATTTCTTCGATTCTAAGACGCCATCGATTGCAAGGGACACACGCTTTCACTCCTACCAAATATATAGATGTAAAGCACCTCCAATTCTAAGGTGCACCCCAATATTAGAGATGTTTATATGGGGGAAAGTGGAGCAGTTCTAAGTTGGATATGACCGTATTTCTTAAATTGTAAGGTGTTGTTGCTTAGAAGGTGCACACTAATTTCAGTCCCACCAACTGATATGTATGTATGTATGTATGTATATCTGTGATTCTAAGGTGTACCCCATTTTTGAAAATGTTGAATATTGGGAGAAAGTCTGTCTTAGATTTGAAGAAATATGGTAGTTCATTCTACTCTTATTCTTTGATTCTAAGGCACTGCCGATTGTAAGGCGCCCATTGATTTCCTAATTCCGGTGACATTAAAAACAGGTGTGTGTGTGTGTGTGTGTGTGTGTGTGTGTGTGATTCTAAGGCACACCTTGTTATTACACTCATTTATAGGGGATAGAATAGAAGAAATAGGATATTTTAGTGTTGACATGCTGTTGGTTGTAAACTGTACATTTTATTGTACAGTTTATAACCAACTTGAGTCTCTTTGAAGACTCAAAGAGATTTGAGTCTCTTTGAAGATACGAAAGTGGTGTATCTGTGTGTGTGTGTGTATGCTGTCCCCTGCCACACGTTGCTGTGGCCCAGTCTGTGTGTATGTGCTTTGTGTTGCATGCGTGTGTGTGTGTATGTGTGTGTGTGGTTTTGTGCATGTGTTGTAATGTAATTTTTGCTTTTTGGCTTTTTAAGTATCTTCTGCTGCGTTTGTCAGTGTTTTTATGAGTGACTAGCCATCCCCTGCCACGCATTGCTGTGGCCCAGTCTGTATATATGTTTTATGTGTGCGTATATGTGTGTATATGTGTATATATCTCTATCTATCTATCTATCTATCTATCTATCTATCTATCTATCTATCCATCTATCCATCTATGCAAACACACATATATGCACATATACACAAATATATACACAAATATATAGATAGATGGGTGTATACGTGTGTGTGCATATGTGTGTACATATGTGTGTATACGTGTGTATATATTTGTGTATTTCTGTGTTTATATGTCTATGTATATGTTGTATATATGTGTATGTATGTCTATATGTATATGTGTGTATGTATCCATGTGTATATGTAAATATATGTGTATGTGTGCATGTATGTGTGCATGTCTATATGTATGTGTATATTTGTGTGTGCTTGTGTACATATATGTGTCTGTCTGTCTGTATGTATGTGGGCACATGTATATGTATATGAGTGTATGTGTATATGTATATATAGTTTATTGGGGGGGGGGTTAATTCTGCTCTGCTGGGTTTTTTGTGTGTTTTCAGGGGTGATGGACACTGATTGACCTGATAGGTGTATTGTGTCCAAGTTCAGTGTCCAGTGGTTTTTGAGTTATGTTAATCCCACAAATGAACATTACATTTTTATTTATATAGATGATCATTTGTTGGCCTGATAAGTGTATTGTGTCCAAATTTGGTGTCAATTCGTCCAGTGGTGTTTGAGTTATGTTAATCCCACAAATGAACATTACATACACACACACACATGCACACACACACACATACACACACATATAGAGAGAGAGTAATCCACGGAGACTTTGCCCTATCCTAATACCATTTGCCCCCAAGGCAAAGAGAGGCGCACTGAGTGCAGTGTGAGCTCCTAAATTGAATAAGGGGCTTTTCTTTTCTTTTCTTAATGGGCCATTCCTGGGGCATCCACAAGTGGCGCTGCTGAGCAACACAGTTCCCCAAGTTCTGCTGCACCTCAAAACTTTGCACATTTCCTGTGTTGTTTTTGTGTGTGTGTTTTGCACCTTGGGTGGGATCTGCAAGGAAACGTTTCCCAGAGGCTATTCCCCTTATCGTTGCGTCCACTGAGAGAGCAAAGTCGGAGCGAGAAAAACTGGGAATGGGGAAAAAAGAAATATAGAGAGACATATAATGTGTCCAGACCAACCTCTTGGTTTCCTTTATTGAGTGTCATATAAAAGGGATGCTGAGAGAGGAGAGGGTCCCTTGAAGGGCTCGACTAGATGACCTTTGGGAAACCCTTCGCATCCTTATTGTGTGCTGGAGAAATGTGGCACTTGTCACTAGATGTGTTTTCCTTTTCCTGACACACTTCAGGTTTCATATAATGCTTGGAAACTTTGGGAAGGGCTCACCCAGTTTAAATATTAATATTCCAGGGTAAGTCTTTAATGTGTGCTTCTATTGTTGAGTTTTAACACCATAGCTCAAGGCTATGGGATACTGGGAGTTGTAGTTTGACAAGGTCCTTCACCTTCTCTGTTAGGCAGGGCGAAAGTGCAACTCCCAGGATTGCACAGCATTGCATCAAGGCAGTTATTGGGATTCATCATCTTGATTGCTCTGATATTGATTTTTCACGTATGAAATGATGTCAGAAAGAGACAGGAATGAGTGTGACGTGACGATTTGAGTTTGCTCAAGTTGGGTGACCTTGGCTGAGTCACACTCTCTCGACCCTCCTTTGAACCCATCTTTCCAAGGAAACGTACAGTCTGTTGGGAGTGAAATCAAGATACACAATGATAATCCTTTCACCTTCTGGAGCCCCTGCAGGCCTGGGTTGTAGGAAAGGAATGAACCAAGGGAGTTATAGTTTTGCAAGGTCTTATGCCCTCTTCCAAGACTGTCTTACAGAACTGCAACTCCCATGACTTTGTGGCTGTGAAGGTCATGTCAAATAGGGCAAATTCTATGTCATAGATCAGGCATGGGCAAACTTGGGCCCTCCAGGTGTTTGGGCCTGAGGCTGTTAGGAATTGTGGGAGTTGAAGTCCAAAACACCTAGAAGGCCCAGGTTTGCCCATGCCTGGCATAGATGCACTTAAGGAAACCGATGCACAGTATTTTGTATTTTCTGTTGGTTATGGAAGTTCTGTGTGCCAAATTTGGTTCAATTCCATTGTTGGAGTTCAGAATGCTCTTTGATGGGAGGGAAATTATACATCCCAGCAGCTCCCAAATGCCAAAGTTTATTTTCCCCAAAGCTCTCCAGTATTTTCTGTTGGTCATGGGAGTTCTGTATGCCAAGTTTGGTTCAATTCCATCGTTGGTGGAGTTCAGAATGCTCTTTGATTGTAGGTGAACTATAAACCCCAGCAACTGCAACTCCCAAATGTCAAGGTCTATTTTCCCCAAACTCCACCAGTGTTCAAATTTAGGTATATTGAATATTTGTGCCAAGTTTTACCCAAAATCTATGGAGCCGCTGTGGTGTAATGGGTTGCACCCTTGTACCAGCAGGACTGCAGACCAAAAGATTGGCGGTTTGAATCCAGAGAGTGGGGTGAGCTCCCATCTGTCAGCTCCAGCTTCCCATGTAGGGACCTGAGAGAACCCTCCCACAGGATGGTAACATATCTGGGCATCCCCTGGGCAACGTCGATGCAGATGGCCAATTCTCTCATACCAAAAGTGACCTGCAGTTTCTCAAATCACTTCTGACATGACAAAAAAAGTGGGCCCAAAGACGCAAGAGTGTTTCCATTGTTTACTGCTGTCTTTTCAGGGAAGCCGAAGGTCTACCAAGGGGTCCGGGTCAAAATCACGGTGAAGGAGCTCCTGCAGCAGCGGAGGGCCAAGCAGGCGGAGGCGGAGGAGCCCGTAAGTGCCGCCTTTCCTGATACGATTGGGGACCTTTCTGAAGATTAGTTTGGGCTTTTGGGATTTGCATAAATAAGTAGCCAAAACAATATTTGACAGCATCCAAGAGCTCTTCCTTCCTCCCCAAGACTTGGCTGAGTTGCCCCTTCCCTTTCCCAGTCTCCGGCCAAATAATTTTATATGACAAGTGGACAATCAGGAAACTTTCCACGCCAATTTGGAACCCTTTTTTATTGGAGCAGAGATGCAGGATATGCCTTCCTTTCGCCTGTCGGAAGTCACCCTTCCTAGTAATTGAAAAGACAAATGTATTTAATTCTCCACATCCTTTCCAACTGTTCCCATTTTTCTGGGACGTTACCAATTCATCCTCTACCATCCCAGCTTTTCATCTGATCTTTCAAATGTCCCGGTTTCTCTCTCTTCCTTCCACTTTCCCCCTTTGTCCTACTTTTGTTGCTGTAAACCGAGGGCCCTTCCATACAGCTCTATAACTCAGAATATCAAGACAGAAAATCCCACAATATCTGCTTTAAACTGGGTTATCTGAGTCCACACTGACGCATATTCCAGTTCAAAGCAGAAAATGCGGGATTAATCCTCTACCGTCCCAGCTTTTCGTCTGCTTTTTCAAATGTCCTGGTTTCTCTCTCTTCCTTCCACTTTCCCCGTTTGTCCTCCTTCCTTGCTGCAAACCGAGGGTCCTTCCATACATTTATATAACCCAGAATATCAAGACAGAAAACCTCACAATATCTCCTTTGAACTGGGTTATCTGAGTCCACACTGCCATATATTCCACTTCAAAGCAGAAAATATGGGATTCATCCTCTACTGTCCCATATTTTCATCTGATTTTTCAAATGTCCCGGTTTCTTTCTCTTCCTTCCACTTTCCCCATTTGTCCTCCTTCTATTGCTGCAAAACGAGGGCCCATCCATACATCTATATAACCCAGAATATCAAGATAGAAAATCTCACAATATCTGCTTTGAATTGGGTTATTTGAGTCCACACTGCCATATATTCCAGTTCAAAGCAGAAAATGTCGGATTCATCCTCTATCGTCCCAGCTTTCCATCTGATTTTTCAAATGTCCCGGTTCCTCTCTCTTCCTTCCACTTTCCCCGTTTGTCCTCCTTCCATTGCTGCAAAACGAGGGCCCTTCCACACATCTATATAACTCAGAATGTCAAGACAGAAAATCCCACAATATCTGCTTTGAACTGGGTTATCTGAGTCCACACAGCCGTATATTCCAGTTTGAAGCAGATAATGTGGAGTTTTATTCAGTTGTGTGGAAGGGACCTGAGTCCAAGGTGCACGAGAAGGTTGCACTCATCCCAATTGGAGAAGAATGCAAAATCTTGCTCTTCCCTGTGAGCTCAGGCTGAAGCAAACTGCAAAAGTAGTTTGCCCTCACATAACATTCAAATTGGATTAATTTTACAGTGTGTAACTCTAGGCATGTGTAGGTCCTCGGCAACAATCCTACGCTCTACTTAGCAGCTGGGTTAACTAAAACACTCAGCTAACTATAGTCAAACATAAATAAATCCTGACCCCTTGCTTCAATATCTCACATTTCCCCAATTGTAGCTTTTCAGTAGTTAAAAAAATATGTGTTGTCGAAGGCTGTCATGGCTGGAACCACTGGGTTGCTATGAGTTTTCCAGGCTCTATGGCCATGTTCCAGAAGCATTCTCTCCTGATGTTTCTCCCACATCTATGGCAGGCATCCCCAGAGGTTGTGAGCCCAGAAAACTCACAGCAAACCAGTTTGAAAACAGTACAAAAACTTGGTAATCCTGATCATCTAGCAGGTGTGGGTAAACTTTGGCCTTCCAAATGTTTTGGACTCCAACTCCCACAATTCCTAACAGCCTCAGGCCCCTTCCTTTTCCCCCTCAGCCGCTTAAGCGGCTGAGGGGGTAAAGGAAGGGGCCTGAGGCTGTTAGGAATTGTGGGAGTTGGAGTCCAAAACACTTGGAAGGCCAAAGTTTGCCCATGCCTGTCCTATAGTATAGATTTGGAAGAGACTTGGTTCCCTCACTTCACTTATTCTGGGATCAAGTGAGACAACTTTCTAACAGCCTTGAATCATAGAATAATAACGTTGGAAGAGACCCCCAGGGCCATCTAGTCCATCCCCCTTTTGCATTGCATGAAAAGCACAATCAAAGCACCCCTGACAGATGGCCATCCAGCCTCTGATTAAAAGCTTCCAAAAGCATTATCTTGAGTAGACTTGGAGATAAGTATTTTTCAAATTCCTTGACATTTTGGAAAACTCCCTCTTGCAGGAAAGGCATTTTGGAGCTCGCTTCCAGTTCCTCTGCCCACCTGCCGGATCGGCATCTGGCGCTCAAGACATCTGCCGTTTGCAAACACACACCCAAAACAGCTGCCAGAAAACGGGCCTTTTTATGGCTTTTGTGGCCAGGAACTTGTAAATTCCAAGGAAAGGCAATCTGCAGATCAGGGCTTGGCCTCTCGGTTACCTTTCAAAGCATTTCCTGCTCTTTCATTACAGAAGGTTAATCGCCAGATAAAAATAAAAAACACGTTGGAAGCATACATACGCTGAGATCTATCCATGGCGGAAAAAAAATCACTGGAAGCAGGATATAAACATCTTGAAGCTCGGACTTACATCTAGATGCTACACAGAACTTTGTATTAATTCATCCCAAAATCCGTGTTGGTTTTCTACAGTCTCTGCCAGGAAAGAAACACTCAACTTACCTCCACTTTGCAAGGAGTTGGAAGGAAGGAAGGAAGGAAAGAAAGGAAGGAAGCAAGGATGGAAGGAAAGAAGGAAGGAAGGAATGAAAGAAGGAAGGAAGAAAGGCAGAAATGAAGGAAGGAAGAAATGAAGGATAGAAAGAAGGAAGCAAGGATAGAAGGAAAGAAGGAAGGAAGGAATGAATGAAAGAAGGAAGGAAGGAAGGAAGCAAGGCTGGATGGATGGATGGATGGATGGAAGGAAGGAATGAAAGAAGGAAGGAAGGAAGGAAGCAAGCGAGGAAGAAAAGAAGGAAGAAAGGAAGGAAGGATAAAAAGAAGGAAGGAAGCAAGGAGGAAGAAAGAAAGAAGGAAGGAGGGAAGGAAGGAAGAAGGAAGAAGAGGAGGGAGGGAGGGAAAGAAGGAAGAAAGGAAGAAGGAAGAAAAAGAAGGAAGGAAGAAGATGGAAGAAGGAAGAAAGGAAGGAAGGAAGAAGGAAGGAAGGAAAAGAAAGGAAGAGAAAGAAAGGAGAGAGAAGGAGGAACAAGGAAAGAAGGAAAGAAAGAGGGAAGAAAGGAAAAGAAAGAAAGAAAGAAATGAAAGAAGGAAGGAAGGAAGGAAGGAAGGAAGGAAGGGGAAGGGAAAGGTGTCCTTTGTTTTGTTTTGCTTTCCGATGGAGATACACTCCTTCTTGGCTTTGTTTTGCCTCTTTCAGCCTTTTGCTTCTTTGTTTCTTTCCATTCTTAGGTTTCCAGGGAGAGCTGTGCCACTGAGGTCCAGTTCACCGAATCTTTCTCTCCTCCTCCTTGCGCAGGTGAGTACAAAGACTGCATGGAGTATATCATCCATGCAAAGCAGGGGTGCTGGCCTTCTTCCCTAGGCTTCCCAATCTCATTCCCAGAATTCACACTTGGTGCCTTGGGAACTGGAGGAACAAATAAGGAATGTGGCCAATCAGGACTGCTGGTCTTCTTTCCTATGTTCCCAACCTCATTCCCAGAATTTGCACCTGGAGCCTTGGGAACTGGAGGAACGAATAAGGAATGTGTCCAATCAGGAGTGTGGAAAGGGTCCCCTGAACGCAGATGAGGGCAGAGATGTGGATGGAGGGGGGGGGGTAGAAGGACGCTTTCAGAAGCACCTTTCTGGTGGCTCCTCCGTTTGCTCCTTGCCTTTATATCCACCCTGTTCTCCCACCCAGAAAGATCAATCATAAGGCACAAGGAGGTCACAGTGGATTAGTTTCTCCTGCCAAAAAGGGTTCTGGCGGATGGAGTTCCAGCAGATCCAGGGCTTTCCAGCCCTTGAAGCTGTGCCTCTTTTCACCCCCTTTGTCTATCCTGGAAGGAAGGAAGGAAGGAAGGAAGGAAGGAAGGAAGGAAGGAAGGAAGGAAGGAAGGAAGGAAGGAAGGAAGGAAGGAATCCTTCTCCCTTTTTGCTATCAGCTTCTTCCCAGTTTGCAGAGCTCTCCAGGAGCTGACAAAAGGCCCAGGAGGCAAGGATTTGGCCAGTTCTTTTTTTCCCTTCTGGCAAGACCAGTGAAACCAACTTGTGGCTAGATTAGTGGCCAACACATACAAACACAGATATACAAATATACTTACATATCCTGGGATCAAGGATGTGCAAGGCGGCTATGTTTATGTGCCTCCTTTATGTGCTTGCTTCTAGCAGGCCTGTCCAGGTGGTGTTTGGATATAAAATTGTGAATGGTTTGTTTTCCAAGATCTGTTCTTTTTAAACTCTTTGTGCATCTTTAATTTGTGTTTTGAACCGTATTATGCATCTATGCGTGGCTTTATTTTAACCTGTTGCTTCCCACTTCCATGCATGGGAGGGCCAGATAAGGAATAATAACACCATGTCACGCGTTTTTTTGTTCCTGGGTTGTAAATGTCACTTCCTAATTATCATAAAAACACAGGGAAAGTTTATTAAACTGCAAAAACTTTAATGTAATGTAATGTCGAAGGCTTTCGTGGCCAGAATCACTGGGTTGTTGTAGTTTTTTTCGGTCTATATGGCCATGTTCTAGAGGCATTCTCTCCTGACGTTTCGCCTGCATCTATGGCAAGCATCCTCAGAGGTAGTGAGGTCTGTTGGAACTAGGAAAAAGGGGTTTATATATCTGTGGAATGACCAGGGTGGGACAAAGGACTCTTGTCTGCTGGAGCTAGGTGTGAATGTTTCAACTGACCACCTTGATTAGCATTTGATGGCCTGGCAGTGCCTGGAGCAATCTTTTGTTGAGAAGTGATTAGATGACTTTGTCCAGTATTTAAAAACTCTAAAATTAGAATAGCACAACAACAGAGAAGAAACAAACAAGGACATCTAATCACCTCTCAACAAAAGATTGCTCCAGGCACTGCCAGGCAATCAAATGCTAATCAAGGTGGTCAGTTGAAACATTCACACCTAGCTCCAGAAGATAAGAGTCCTTTGTCTCACCCTGGTCATTCCACAGATATATAAACCCTTTTCCAGTTCCAACAGACCTCACTACCTCTGAGGATGCTTGCCATAGATGCAGGCGAAACGTCAGGAGAGAATGCCTCTAGAACATGGCCATATAGCCTGAAAAAACCTTCAACAACCCTGCAAAAACTTTGTTTTTGTGGGACATCCTGCTGCAGCACATTTTGCAATCGTTTTTTTAATTAATTGTGGCTTAATTAGTCTAAACCAATTAAACCATTAATTAATAGCTCACCAAGTCTAAACCAATTAAACCACATAAACAAAGACTTTCACGGCTGGAATCAATGGGTTGCTGTGTGTTTTCTGGCCTGTATGGCCATGTTCCAGAAGCATTCTCTCCTGACATTTCCAACAGACCTCACAACCTCTGAGGATGCCTGCCATAGATGTGGAGGAAACGTCAGGAGAGAATGCTTCTGGAACATGGCCAGACAGCCCGGAAAACTCACAGCAACCCACAAAAACAAAGTTTCTGGAGTAGAACAACTATTTTCAAACTGAGGACCGCACAATTAATCAGAAAGTAACACTTTCAAACCAGGGAAAGAAACTTTCTCAAAATTGGTTACATAGTGTAATAGTTACTATCAGTATTAGTATTATTTATTTTGTTGCATTCCTCTGCCATGCTAAGTCAATGAGACTTAGCCATGCTAAGTCAACGTAACTGTATGCGCACAGATTGCAAAGCTGTTTTGTTTGTAAACAATGGCATTGTATAACAAAATGTGCATTAATGTGTGCAGCGGATGCACAGTGCAAGATGCGTCATCTGTGCAGCTCCTCCGAAACAGCTGGCATAATCCCGTCACACAGTCTGGCAACCTTGAGTCCAGTTTTTGATTCTGGAAGAGCACTGAGTTGGAGCTTTCCGTCTGTTTCTTCTCCTTTCAGCCCCTTTTGCAGATACAGAGCTCGAGCCTTCCTCCTCGTCCGGCTGCCTCCAGCCTTGGTCGTTCCAGAGCTGCCTCACCTGCGAAGAGATTCCCAGTTACCTGGAGCAACTGGTGGACTCCTGCCTCCAAACGGAGCCAGTTTTGGATGCCCCTTTGCCTTTGGCCCAAGGCCATATGACCTGCCCTCCCGGCGGCTACCAGCCCGGCCCACCTCCTTGCCTCAACCAGAGCCTGGTAATTTGTGCATCAGGTTTCATGGCCCTCCAAACAGGGACCCTTTCACATCACATTGCTGTAGTGTATTTATTTATTATTCTGTCCATTGAAAGTATTTCTGCATCACCTCCCAGCCCACAAGGGCTTCAGAGATCATTTTCAGATATCATGGCTACAAATTATTGAGACGCCAGGACTTTGCAAGAGTCTGAAATACATACCCGACTCTGCTCTATATGCTCTATTTTGCATTAGTTACCAGGCTTTGAAGCTACAAGGCCGTTAAATACTAATCAAGGATTTTGAGACACCAGAGCCTTGCAAGACTCTGAAATAGTCTCTAAACTGCATACCCGACTCTGTTCTATATGCTCTATTTTGCATTAGTTGCCAGGCTTTGAAGCTACAAGGCCATTCAATGCTAATCAAGATGTCCAATGGCAACATTTACAAGAGTTCTTTCTCCCACCCTGGACCTTCTACAGCAGTGTTTCTCAACCTTCCTAATGCTGCGACCCCTTAATACAGCATCTCATGTTGTGGTGACCTCCAACCAAATAGTTGCTACTTCCTAACAGCAGTTGTGTTACTGTTATGAATCATAATGAAAATATCTGAAATGCAGGTTGAATTTTCATTCAGTAAACCAAATTTGGCACAAATACCCAATAACGGATCTCCATCCAGTCATGTCGGCCTTGGAGATGTCTATGGACAACACCAGCTCTTTGGCCTAGAAATTGGGCACCAACCCCCAGACTTGGACACAACTAGACTTAATGTCAGGGGAAAACTTATACCTTACCTTACCCAATATGCCAAATTTCAATACTGGTGGGGTTGGAGGGAGAATTGATTTTGTCGTTTGGGAGTTGTAGTTACTGGGATTTATAGTTCACCTACAATCAAAGAGCATTCTGAACCCCACCAACAATGGAATTGAATGAAACTTGGCGCACACAACTCCCATGACCAAGAGAAAATACTGGAAGTGTTTGGTAGGCATTGACCTTGAGTTTTGGAGTTGTAGTTCATCTGCATCCAGAGAGCACTGTGGACTCAAACAATGATTGATCGGGATCAAACTTGGCACGGATACTCAATATGCCCAAATGTGAACACTGGTGGAGTTTGGGGGAAAATAGACCGTGACATTTGTGAGTTGGTAGTTGCTGGGATTTATAGTTCACTTGCAATGAAAGAGCATTCTGAATCCTGTCAACGATAGAATTCGGCCAAACGTCCCACATAGAACCCCCATGACCAACAGAAAATATTGTGTTTTTTGATGGTCTTTGGTGACCCCTCTGACACCTCTTCACGACCCCCTCAGGGGTCCCGACCCCCAGATTGAGAAACATTGTTCTACAGATATATAAACCACACTTGCCTAGTTTCCAACAGACTTCACAACCTTTGTGGGTGCCTGCCATAGATGTGGGAGAAACAGCCCGGAAAACCCACAGCAACCCAACTTCTAAATATATTTCAAGGGCCACCCAACGTAGGGCATTCACAGCTGGATTTCTAAAATGCCTTACCAAAGCATGCAATGAGAGTAGATCAATAGTTACCATCTAGGCGGGGAGGTTAAAGGGCGCCCCATGTAGACATGCTGGCAATATGATCACAGAAGTGTATGGACAACAGGCTTCTTGGCATGGAAAAATGGAACAATAGCACCTCCCCATGATCGAAGTTGAGCATTGCCTCCAGACGCTGGAGATGCCTCCAGATGCTGTCTGTGTATTGTACGTCATTGTTTACTGTGTAAAAATACATTGAATGTTTGCCATATATATGTAAAATTATAATCTGCTCTGAGTCCCTCTGGGGAGATAAGTTGGAATATAAATGAAGTGTATTATTGTATTACAGTAGAGTCTAGCTTATCCAATCTTTGCTCATCCAACATTCTGTATTATCCAGTGCTATCTGCATCCCGCCCAGATCCACAGCTGTTTCAATACATTGTGATGTTTTGGTGCTAAATTCATAAATACAGTAACTACTACATCCTCACTACCTCTGAGGATGCTTGCCATAGATGCAGGCGAAACGTCAGGAGAGAATGCCTTTAGTACATGGCCATATAGCCCGAAAAAACCTACAACAACCCAACATGACCGTGTATTGAACTGCTTTTTCTATTGATTTGTTGTAAAACACAATGTTTTGGTGCTTAATTTGTAAAATCATGACATAATTTCATGTTTAATTGGTTTTTCCTTAATTCCTCCTTATTATTCAACATTTTTACTTATCCAATGTTCTGCCACCCCGTTTATGTTGGATAAGCAAGACTCTACTGTATTATTAGGTAAAGGTTTTCCCCTGACATTCAGTCTAGTTGTGTCTGATTCTGGGACTCTGGTGCTCATCTCCATTTCTAAGCTGAAGAGTCGGCGTTGTCCATAGACACCTCCAAGGTCATGTAGCCAGCATGGCTGCATTGAGAGCCGTTACCTTCCTGCAGAAGCGGTACCTATTGATCTACTCACATTTGCATGTTTTCGAACTGCTAGGTTGGCAGGAGCTGGGAGTAACAGCGGGATCTCTTACCACTCCCTGGATTCGAACCTGCGACCTTTCAATCAGCAAGTTCAGCAGCTCAGCGGTTTAACCCACTGTGCCACCAGGGGCTCCTCCTCCATTATTATTATTATTATTATTATTATTATTATTATTATTATTATTACTCTACTGTAGTATTAGGTAAAGGTTTTCCTCTGACATTAAGTCCAGTCGTGTCCGACTCTGGGAGTTGGTGCTCATCTCCATTTCTAAGCTGAAGAGCCAGCGTTGTCCGTAGACACCTCCAAGGTCATGTGGCTAGCATGACTCCATGGAGTGCCATTACCTTCCTGCAGAAGGTAACGAAAACATTTGCATGTTTTTGAATTGCTAGGTTGGCAGGAGCTGGGACTAAAAGCGGGAGCTCATGCCACTCCCTGGATTTGAACCTGCAACCTTTCAATCAGCAAGTTCAGCAGCTCAGCGGTTTAACCCACTGTGCCACCAGGGACTCCTCCTCCTGTGTTGTTGTTGTTGTTGTTGTTGTTGTTGTTAGGCTGTTGTAGGTTTTTTCAGGCTATATGGCCATGTTCTAGAGCAGTGGTTCTCAACCTGTGGGTCCCCAGGTGTTTTGGCCTACAACTCCCAGAAACCTAGCCAGTTTACCAACTTTTATAGGGTTCCCTTAGGCAAGGGAAACAGAAAATACTGTTTTCTAATTGTCTTTGGCGACCCCTCTGACACACCTTCGCGACCCCCCCAGGGGTCCCGACCCCCAGGTTGAGAAACACTGTTCTAGAGGCATTCTCTCCTGACGTTTTGCCTGCATCTATGGCAAGCATCCTCAGAGGTAGTGATTATTATTATTATTATTATTATTATTATTATTATTATTATTATTATTATATTCAGAGGTGGTTTTGTGAGTTCCTTCTCTGAAAAATGGGTGGTCTCCCATCCAGAAAGTAACCAGGGTTGGCCCTGCTTAGTTTCCAAACTCAGGAGGAATTGGGCATCAATAGAGGCATTCCCTTCTGAAGAAAACCTGGGAGAGTGGGAGTGGGAGTGGGAAAAAGAACTCTTGCGTGTTTGTGGTAAGTCTGAATGTTTCAATTGGCCACCTTGATTAGCATTTAATGGCCTAGCAGTTTCAAGGTCTGGCTTCTTACTGCCTGGGGGAATCCTTTGTTGGGAGCCGATTAGCTGGCCCCGATTGTTTCTGTTTGGGCTCATTTTTAACAATGCTGATTGTCTCCGCTCCTCTCTTTCAGGGCACTGGTTCCCCAGATTCCTCCGATCCCTCCATCTCCTTCAACTACAGCTTCTCCCCTCCACAGCTGCCTCCTTTTGCTCCCATCAGCTACAACGACTCCCCTTCTTCCTCTTTGGAGGCCAAGAGCTGTATGTACCCGTCTTTAGAGGAAAGCCCCTATCCGCTGCCTTCCCACATACAGTACAACCACGTTCCCAATCCTTGCGGATGCACATCCTGCGGCTCTCAGCACTTGGACACTTTCAGGGTCTCCGAATGCTTCCCTTACGCAAATGCGGACTGTCGGGAATATGTCCCGTCCGTCTCGGTGGCGGACGACTTCTTCCGAAGAGATAGGAGCTGGGACGCCTGCTATAGTTAATGTGGAAGCAGCTATCCACCACTGTATAGAATATGTACACAAATAAGGAAATCCATAGACATTTGAAGTTGCAAAACACTGAACGCCATTTGTCCTAAGAGGGTCTCGTTTGGAGCAAGTTTCCAGTCATCCACACGTCGATGACTTATCGTACAATTATTTGTAAGCTATTTTCTCTCTTTTTTTACATCTTATACACACTTTTGCTACTCTCACTTCCCAATTATCGCTGGATAAAGAGTTCTGTGAAACTAGAAGGAAGGCACAGAAACACAGAGCATCCCAACGCCATGTCTCCCATGACTACAACATCTATGCGCTTCTGCTCTGATCACATAAGCCGTTGCGTTGCCACTGCAAATCTATACTTCACTTGACCTTTGCTTTGTTTTCCTAACCTTCACTTAAGAGCACAAATATTTTAAAGCCACATCTCACTTATTTCTTCTGCCATTCTTGTATATTTAGGTGTCCAATAAAAAAAACACCATCCGGTTTGTTGCCAATTTGTGTGGTTTCTCTCCTTCTTGCAGTGCCGATATGATTTGTTTTTGTCAATTCATAGAACTATGTGGTTGAAAGGGATGTTAGAGGTCATCTAGTCTCAAACATGCTTCACCGAAGGCCCCGGTGTTGCAATGGGTTAAACCGACAGGTCGCAGGTTCGAATCCAGGGAGCGCACAGATGAGCTCCCTTTGCAAGCTCCAGCTCTCCATGTGGGGACATGAGAGAAGCCTCCCACAAGGATGGCAAAACATAAAAACATCTGGGCATCCACTGGGCAGCATCCTTGTAGACAGCCAATGCTCTTACACCAGAAGCGACTTGCAGTTTCTCAAGTTGCTCCTGACATGAAAAAAAAATGCCGAAGATATTGGTCAACTTTAGATAAAGTTGCATTTATATCCTACTTATAGAATCATTATCCTGGTCATCTGTGTGTTAAATGGGCCTTAGGTCTAATTTCTTGGTCCTCCAGAGTTTTTTGCTTCATCTCCCAGAATTACGGACTGTTGCTCAAAGTGGACAGAGCATGTCGGAAACAAAGCACCCAAGTTTGGGAATTATTGCTTTGGAATAAGGTATTTGCTGTCCCTATATGCTTAACAGATAGCAAAATACATATACTCATTCAGAAATGTGTCTAAAACAGTGGTTCCCAACCTTTTTTTGACCAGGGACCACTTTGACCAGAGACCACTTTGACCAAGGACCCCTTTGACCAGGGACCTCTTGACCAGGAACCCCTTTGACCAGGGGCCACTTTGACCAGGGACTACTTTGACCAGCGACCACTTTGACCAGAGACCACTTTGACCAGGACCTCTTGACCAGGGACGTCTCTGACCAAGGACCTCTTGAGCAGGGACCACTTTGATCAGGGACCTCTTGACCAAGGACTTCTTTTACCAGGGACCTCTTGACCAGGGACCTCTTGACCAGGAACCCCTTTGACCAGGGACCTCTTGACCAGGGACTTCTTTGACCAGGAACCACTTTGACCAGGGACCTCTTGACCAGGGACCTCTTGACCAGGGACCACTTTGACCAGGGACCACTTTGACTAGGGCCCTCTCACTTGGACCACGGACCTCTTTGACCAGTGACCACTTTGACCAGGGACCACTCTCCAACCTTAGTACCAAAAGGGTTACGAATCATTTTTGGTCAACTTTAGATTCGGTTTGGTTGTTTAGGGTGCTGATTCAAAAAATTGCATTGGATAGAACACATCAGCTCATTTTCTGATACAGAACATATGCCATCCAGTAGACGCCATCTGCTTGCCCATAGAAAATCATATTTAATCATTTAGAGCTGATGTGCTAGTAGTAAGCTTTCGTGAATAGCCAGCCTCTCCCCTCCCAACATCCCCTTGCTTCAGCACTATAAGAGGGTTTCGCGAGACCAGTCGCTTTGGTTGCTATGTGATTTCGAGGTAACAGTGTAGTAATGGTGAGGCTGCAGACCATATTTTCATTCTTGGGGACCACTGGTGGTCCACGGACCACAGGTTGGGAACCACTAGTCTAAACAATTTGATAACACAGTATCTTGTGGCAGTGAGTTCCGTCGGTCCGTTGCCTATCCTTGGAGCATCACAGTGTTGCAAGGACCATGTGTTCCAGGTCCATGTCATGCTAGAAACCATTTCGAAAACATTCCTGGGAAGAGGGTGATTTGCTGGATGAATCCAGATCAATCCTTCCACCTTTTAAGGACAGTCCCATTTTTCAAAGAACCTGACAGGAAGCAACCTTGCCAAGAAAACCCACAATCAGGTTGCCATAAATCAAGAACAACTGGAAGGCACACCTTCTGACACAGCTGGATGCAAAACCTGAAAACATACTGCTAAGAAGTCATATACAGAGAGTTGTAATGTGGGTCATATAGACATATGTCTAACTTGGGTTCGATAAATATATGCGTAACTTGGACACGGAGATCTCGTTCTGGACATGGCACAAGATGTGTTCCTAATCTCCTTGCACAGCCTCCAAAACCTCCCTCAAGGCAGTTGTTGTTATGCCATATGGATCGCTAGCATGACCGTTGACTCTCTGGAGGTGATTGAGAAGAGGAGGTGAGCAGATGGTGAACATCTCAAAGATTACAATTGGGACATGTGCAGCCATGCAATGTGAAAGTGTGGCCAAGACGGTGACATTTATCCATGAGGGAGAATAAACAAAGATAGGAGAGGCTGCAGAACCCCTCGTGGTGCAGTGGTTAAAACTGCTGAGCTGCTGAACTTAGAATCATAGAATCATAGAGTTGGAAGAGACCTCATGGGCCATCCAGTCCTACCCCCTGCCAAGAAGCAGGAATATTGCATTCAAAGCACCCCTGACAGAGGGCCATCCAGCTTCTGTTTAAGAGCTTCCAAAGAAGGAGCCTCCACCGCACAGAGAGTTCCACTGCTGAACGGCTCTCACAGTCAGAAAGTTCTTCCTCATGATCAGATGGAATCTCCTTTCTTGTAGTTTGAAGCCATTGTTCCATGTCCTAGTCTCCAGGGCAGCAGAAAACAAGTTTTCTCCCTCCTCCAAAAGGCCAGTGGTTTGAATCTGGGGAGCAGAGTGAGCTCCTGCTGTTAGCCCCAGCTTCTGCCAACCTAGCGGTTCAAAAACATGCAAATGTGAGTAGATCAACAGGTACCACTCTGGCAGGAAGGTAACAGCACTCCATGCAGTCATGCTGGCCATGTGATCTTGGAGGTGTCAACTCATAAAGCCGGCTCTTTGGCTTAGAAATGGAGATGAGCACCACCCCCCAGAGTCAGACGCAACTAGATTTAACGTCAAGGGGAGAGGCTACCACAGTTTGCTTTGCCCTGAATCTACTGGAAAGTGAAAAATCTTGCCCCTCTTTTCCCTCTCCTTGTTGCTGAGTTAACAGCGTTTCCACCACCCTGAATTACCCTATTTATTGGAATCTAATGCTCTACATTTTTGGCTAAATGGCCTCGCCAAAATGAGGGTGTGCATTAGATTCGCGTCATACAATCATCTTAGTACTGAGCCAAAGCAAAACAGGGAAGCGGCGTCAGGAGCTCCTTTTAGAGGGATCTCATCTTGAATTTAATAGTTATGCCTCAATGCTATGCAATGTTGGGATTTGTAGTTTGGTGAGGCATCCGTGTCGTGTGACAGAGAAGGCTCAAGACTTTGCAAAACTACAATCCCCAAGATTCGATGGCACCTTGAGACAGGTAAATTTGGATTTACAGGTTGATTGCTCAAACCTTGCATCCACCGTCTGGCCTTCAGGATCTCAGCGCTTCCTCTGCAACAGGTGCATCACCCCCAAAAGCCCAGTGTTTGAGACTTCAGAGAGGCCGCTCTCGGTCGGTTAGGAGTTAATGCTTATCCGGTGGCACCTGATTGCAGGGACAGGGAAACAAAGTGCCCATAAAAGGTTGCCCCTGCTCCCATCTGTTAAGGGTTTGGCTTTGGCACAGCAGCTGGGGAGCGGAGGCACAGCCAAAAGGTGTGGAGTGGAGCCATTTGCAAAGAAATAATAATAATAATAATAATAATAATAATAATAATAATAATAATAATAATAATGGGGAAGTGATTCGACCCATCTCGTTTCTGGTCACAACAGATTATTCTTCATGCTTGGAAGGACAGGTAGATTAAAACATTCAAGGTAGAGCTAATGCAGTTGGACACCACTTAAACTGCCGTGACACAAGGTGAATCGCACTTTGGTAAGGGGGAAGACCTTGTCAAACTATAGCCCCCAGAATTCCATCGCATTAGGCCAGACGGCATTAATTCTGCAATGTAGATGCACCATCCAAAACCTTGCATCAAACATAAAGGATCTCCAGTGCATTGCACACACTGTATCAATCAATCAAATAACCAATCAAGGACATCATCAATCAATCAAGAGGTCTGGCACCTCTCCAAACTATAAATCCTAGCATTCCATAGCATTGAGTCCTGGCAGTTAAAGTTGTCTCAAACTGCACTCGTTACAGTGTAAATCAGGCCTGGGCAAACTTTCAAACTTGGGGACATGCTAGCACTCCCTCCTAAGAGGACTGGCTGCCCGGTGATGAAAGGAAGGAAGGAAGGAAGGAAGGAAGGAAGGAAGGAAGGAAGGAAGGAGAAGGAAGGAAGGAAGGAAGGAAGGAAGGAAGGAGGGAAGGGGAAGGAAAGGGAAGGAAGGAAGGACAAAAGAGCGGAAAGGAAAGAGAAGGAGAGAGAGGAAGGAGGGAAGGGAGGGAAGAGAGAAGGAAGGAAGGATGAAAGAGAAGGAAGGAAAGGAAAGGAAGGAGGAAAAGGAAGAAGAAGGAAGGGTGAAGGGTGGAAGGGAGGAAGGAGGGAAAGGAGGAAAGGGAGGAAGGAAGGAAGGAAAAGGAGAGGAAGGAAGAGGAAGGAAGGAAGGAGAAGAGGAGAAAGAAGGAAGGAAGGAGAAAGGGGGAGGGAAGGAAAAGGAGGAAGGAGGGAGAAGAGGAAGGAAGGAAAGAAGGAAGGAGAAGGAGAGAAAGGAGGAAAGGGAAGGATGAAAGGGTGGAAGGTAAGGAAGGATGAAAGAGAAAGAGGAGGGAGGCAAGGGGGAGGGAAGGAAGAAGGAACAGAGAAAATAAAGACAAAAGGG